CAAAACTGTTTGGTTTCTGAGTGGTCACAGGTCATTCATTTTCCTTAAATGAGTTCTAAGTAGTATTAGTATTTAACATATGGAGACCTTAACTTCTCAATACTTTAAGCTTAGCCACTGGAAATTCTGAGAGCTTAAGATGGTCTTTGTGAGGAAAACATGCAGAGAAGATGACATGGAAGGCACCATGATGGAAATTTCTGACAGCCCTGTGAACAGAAGAGTTCCCTCAAGCAATATTTTTCCAGAAGGAACATGGATAATGAGTGGTTAAAACAGCAGAAATCATGACAAATGTCAGTAATGGTGGTATTAAAAGAATGAACACATCCCCATTGCTTAACACAAAGCCTTATTATGGCAAATGGTAAGGGCTATTAAAAGTCATGATGATTGATGTCTCAGATATCTGTTTCTTCACATGGAACTAACTGCTCTTTTAAGGAATTAAAAGTAATTGTGGAACATGATTATGATTGTGGGAAAAGGCACACCATACATATGTGAATTTGCATGCACATACACGCATACACACACACACACACACACACACACACACACACACGCTCATAGTCTGAGGCCCCTGCATTTTATTTAAGGACAAAAGTCCATTGTTCTATTTTACTCATAACAATTCTGTGGTTTGGTGTGGTGTGGTATGGTGTGTGGTTTGGCTTGGTTTGAGACGGGTTGCTATGTTGTCTAGGCTGGCTCTGAATTTGCTGTGTAGTCCAGGCTGGCCTTGAACTGCATCAGTCGTCCTCCCTCAGCCCTCTAGAATACTAGGACCACAGGCATGCACCACCACGCCCGGCTTACTCATAGCACTTCTATTCTCCATCTCTCTCTGTGTACATTGGTGAAGCTGCCCCAACAGCTATGGGTACTAATCATCAGAGAAGTGTGTTTTTTACTCTTTCAAGGTTGAGCATCACATCTTGCATTGGTTTATATCTGAGGAAAGACACAGGCAGAGAAAAAAATTCTGCTAGAATAAAGCCCAGCTTTTTCTAGGAGTTACTTTGGAGTAAATTGTCACTATTTTAGTATATTATCCTAAATTCTTCATCTCATGCTAAAGGCATGGTTTGTAATTTTGTTTTTTATTAGATCCCAGAAATAGAAGTAGTTTTTTTTTTTTTTTTTTTAAAAAACTATGTGTAGTTTTTAAAATACTGAGTTCAGGGTCCTTTTGCAAATGGAACCCTGATTCCCTTGACAGAGCAAGTTCTTCTGGACCTATGCAGCAGGGCCAGTATTGAGTGCCAGGTTCTACAGGAAACCCTTGCTTGCTATGTTAGGCAGTGAGGGGTTATGATGTTTGTAATTGCTTTGGGAACTTCAATTGGCAGTACCTCTAAATGATTATGATGAGGCTGGGGGGAAAATGGGGGCTAAATCATCTATGACAGATTGTCTGGATCCAATGCCATTGGTAACAGATCATTCTCTGATGTCTTTTTAAGCTATTTGTGAGTTTGTTTTTCTTTATCCCTCTTGGTGGAGGGTGCAGCCAGAAATAGTGTAGCACCATGACATGTAGGTAATGAATTAGCAGCTCTGAGCTGTTCTAATAGGGGATGGATCCTAAAAGATGGGGAACATAGGTAAAATACTAAATTTAATAACTCAGGCATGGCTACCAGGCTTAGAAGATCTGTGATTGATTGATTGACTGATTGATAGGGTGATGGATTAATTTAGATACTTAGTTAAGCAAACCACTTCCAGCCCTGCCACTTTCTGGCTATAGGTGGAGGACCGGGAACTGCAGGTGTGCTTGGTCTAGAGTCAGGCCTGCCCCATGCTTGCAGCTGGACTGCTACCTATTAATGTTCTTTGCATCTAGGAACCATTGTTAGGAGCTACTGGTACAACTGAGCTGTGCTGATCAATGGGGAGAACATCGTATCTGCATATCCACAGAGAGGACCACAGAAAACAGTTCTCTCAGAAGTGGGCACAGGAGAACAGGGATCAAACTTGGAAGAAGATTTGTGTGGGGCCTGTAAGGGGGTGAAAAGCCCATTCTTGGAGCAGAACTGGAAGTAGAAATGGGGTGGGATGGTGCAGTTTACGACAGTGTCACCCAAACCACAAGGGAAGGAAATGTGTGTGACACAGATGAGACTGGAAGATGCTGGAGGAAAATAGTATCCTTCCACCCCTGGAATCTAATGCTTTTCCTGAAAAAAACTTACATCATTTCTTTTAACTCTTAAAAATGAAAATGTTACTCTTAGACTTGGGTTAAATCTCCGCCAACATCACGTTAATGTATTTTTTACTCATTCTCTCAGTGGACTACTTAAATGTCATCATCTGACCTTTAGCTCTTGAGAGGATTTCTTTAATTTCCATCAACCCTACAATATCCACTTAATTCTAGGAACCAAAACCCTACTGAGACCATTGTATGGGCTCCGTAGTCAAGTCATTAGCAATTACTTCCCAACTCAATATACTTAACAGGTGTATTCTTGACTTCTTTTGCTTGTCATACCCTATGAAGATTTTTTTCAGAATTTGTTTTCCTAGATCCAGGCATGATTTCACACATTTATAATCCTAGCACTGTGGAGGCAGAGGCAGGAGGGGTGCCATGAGTTCAAGACGGGACTGGTCTACTTAGTGAGTTCAAGCCCAGCCTAAACTACATAGCAAGATTCTATCTCATAGAAAATATATATTTTTTCTAATTGTCTTTCCACCATGAAATTTTAATACCAGTGATGCACTGTGTACTCTTTCATACAGTGGTGGTCTTAGAATGGTCAGAAAACACCGTAATATACAAGATGTCCCACAGTTGTCACAGTTGTCTCAAACCAATTTTAGTTGCCTTGAGGAAGCTCTCGCCCCCATGGATATAGCATGTGATTTATAATGTCAGTGCTTATGGCCCTTCCAAAATGGTGTTTACCTCTTGTAATTGCCTTCTGCATTGTACAATTTACATTTATTTCCTATTACCCTTCTCCTTAAGTAGCTCAACATGGATCTGCTCAGGGTCCCTTTACAATAAGAAACCCCATGAGATGTTTCCTGACATTTCTGTAACACAGACATGGTGCCCAGAATACAACTGCCAGTTTCAGCTGCTGGAAATGAAACATGCAGTTTAGTAGTATCTAATTTAAAAAATAACGAGTTTGAAATTGCTTTTTCTACCAACCTTGAGGAAGAGCAAGGTGTGAAGTAACTCCCTGTCAGATGCAGAATGAAGGTCAATAATGCCCTGTAAGAACTTCTTCACCAGAGTCAGTGAAGTCACGGTGCTCTTCCCTGCTCCAGTGATCCTGCAGTGAACCATGTCTTGTTAAGAGTGCGTTCTTTTAAGCATGTAGGTTGTCAGAGGTTTTCATTTGCTGACCCACCATAACAACATACCATAGGCTGGGTGAATAAAATAGCAGAAATTTATTTCTTCACAGTTCTGAAGGTGGAAAGTCTGAATTCAAGGTGTCAGTAGAGCTGGCTTCTGGTGAGGCCTCTTTCTCCTATGCTTGCAGAAGGACATCTTTTTCTGTGTCTTCACATCGTCTATACTCTGTGCACATGTGTATCTAATCACTTCTTCTTGTTAGACCCATCCTAATAACCTTTTACTTAATGATCTCTCTAAGGCCCTATCTCATGTTCTGAGGTACAGTACACTAAGATTTCAACAAATGATTTTGCGAGATGGGGTTCACAGTTCAGCTTATAATAATGTAAGACCATTAGGACTATTGTGCGTCGCAAGCATAACATTAACTAAAATATAACTCTCAAATCTCCACTGCGTTTCTTACTAGCTGTGTGTTCTTCCACACTCAGGTAATCACTCTGATTTGCATTCTCTTTCAACATTTGATTTCATTCCTGTCTCACAGGATAGATTTTTCAGAATTGTGTCTAATCAACTAATAGTAACTAAAACTATAATGTGTACGTACTTATCAAGTACAGCCACTGGCTTGTAGGCTTCAATCTTAGGCTAGATTGAAGCAGTTTATTATCTTTCCCTTTTGAATATGGATTAAGACTTTAGTGCATTGGGAATAATAAGATAAGCAAGCCAGTTGATATTATTAGCATTAAGAAGGGAAATGAGCATTTGTTGAACAACTTTGAGTACTCCTACACACAGCACACCAAATTAATTTTTGCATAAGATTTATAGATCATGAAGCCACTCATCATTCATTCAATAATACCTATAGTGCCTGCAACATATACCAGTTGCAGAAAACAGACTTCTCACCTCGTGTTTTCTTACTGTCAATACCCGTATTTCCTACAACCTGCCTGGCATTGGGGGATTTCTACAGGACTCAAAAAACATGTCTCAAACTGAGCTACTATTATTGCAGTCAGAACTTGTCCCCCTCCCTTCAGAAACAGCCTATGTCCAGGGGGTGTCATGCACTGTCAGGCTGCTGGCCCACATTACCAATTCAGCTAATTGTAGCAATTACGTGAAGGAATTGCTGCTAGTAAGGGAAGCCATTAAGATGATCCTGAGCAGCTTCCACAGTGTTCATTAATTATACAGCCTATAGGTTCACAGTCACCAAATCATGCTCTTGAGACTACGTGCCATATGCACCAAACCCTCCCCAAACCACCATGCATTTCCATGTTGGCTTAGTTCTTTTATTTCCCATCCTTTGCAGTACCCTTCCTTTCATTCTCCTGATTTGCAACCCTGAAATTAGAGACCAGCTGCACAATATGATTTACAGAAATGAGAAAGACTTGAGCTTTCTAAAACCACTCTCGGTCCCTCTGCATCACACCCCTACAAAATTTCTGGAAATGCAACCATTCTCAGTTGCAAAGCAGTTGAAAAATCTCCACCCTACATCCTGGGTCTCTGTAAATTAAAGAAACAGCGACAACGATGGGAGGTGGGACACAGTGATATCTCCGATGCCTTTGTACACTGATTTCATTATCTTCTCTTGTCTCTCTCTTCTCCCAATCCTACCCTATCATTGTGCCTTTACCATGAACAGCCAACATCAGATGACCTTGTTTCATCTGCTGAATGTTCAAGTGATGATGAAGACTTCGTTGAATGCGAGCCAAGTCCAGGTAGGTCAGGTCAGTCTTGTTTTGCTTGCTTTCTTTTTTCATTTGCAAAAAGCAATACATACATATATGTGGTTATACATGTGTTTTCTATATATTATAGTGTGTGTTAATATGTGTGCTTCCTATATCTATATATGTATGAGTATACATGTATAAATATTAATTCATAAACAAAAGCATCAAATCCCATGGAAGGAGCAGTAGACCCTAGGGAAACTTAAAGTCCATTGATAACAAAGAAAAATCCATGGTACACAACCCAAATTTGGACAAGTACATGCACAGATTAATCAATTACTGAAATAGCCAAAGGGTAGCAGCCAAGGTAAACTATGAAATTTGCAGGGGTGACGGCATGAAGAAGTCTATATTGGAATGAGTAAAAAAAGCATGAAATCAAAGTGGAGACATAAATATTGGCAAATACCACTTAAAGCTCAGGAATCTCTCTGAACTTGTGTGGCAAAAAAATAAATAAGTAAAAAGTAAGCCAGATAAAATTTTCCATGGGATTTCAACAGCAGGTAACATGGTATTATGTTTATACTAATTTTGTTCATTGTATGTCTAGAAAACTTGTGCAACAATTTAATACACTAAGTGCAAAATTAGTAGTGAACCATGCCATGTCAATAGCTGTGATGCTTCAAAATGTATCCACTATGCTGAAGTTGGTCAGACTTTGGCAATTAGAAGCTTCAATGTGTTTCCCATTTGGACTCTGATACATTTTGATGTTTTATGGTCTTTCTTTATAATGAGATATATATGATATAATGTCCAGCAGGAAACTGCAAGTCCCTGATTATTTCCTATCAACTTTCCCAACTAATCTATTTCAAGACTTTCTAAAAGTTAAATATTCATATGTATATAATAGAGAACAGATATCATCGAATTTCTGTGTATGTTTAACAAACTTAAAAGTCTGAGCATGGTCAGGATCTTATTCCTGCAAAGGTTAAAAGAAATGAGTAAAATTTTCTTTCTCTAGGTTGCTTTAATTGTTTTCCTTTGCTTTAAAAAAAGCATGCCGTTGAACATTTTCTTCTGCTAATTCTAGAGAAATTTAAGCCTCATGGAAAAATAATGTATCCAAAACTAAAACCTACCCCTTTTTTGCCAAAAAAAATTACTTATAAGATTTTAAATTTTATTGAAGACTGATTGCTTGGTTTCTTGCAAGTGGCTTTGAATGCAGGAAGTTCTGTGGGTTTCATGCCTTAGCATTACAGAGACACACCAACTATATGTTGGCCTTACTATCCTGATGTGTTAGTTATTTTTCTGTCATTGCTGAGACAAAATCCCCCAACATCCAAAGTTAAGGGAGGAAGGTTTATTTAGCTCACAGTTTGCAGAGGTTTCAGTTCCTACTTGGCCGGCTCCAAGGCAGAGTAGCGCATGGCAGAGGGGCAACAGTTCACGGCAGCAGTAGGCAGCAAAACCCACAACCAAACCTTAACAACATCTTTCTGTCCCTTTTATACTCTATCCAGGATGCTAGGATTAGGGTGGTGCTAATCCAATCAGTGCCTGATCCAGCAATCACTCACCCTTAATCCCAGCAACCTTAAACCCAGCATTGCACCACCAATCACTCACTCACTCTAGATTCAGAACATCTCTAAAAAGACCCATCTAAAACTGCATGAGGCTGCGGGGGGACATCTAGACACAAACCATAACACTTGGAGTGTGATTTTCTCCTTTGGGACCTTAGCCATGTGGAAGGAAGGTAGATGTCATCTTATTAGAAATTTTCAGGTTATAAGAATAATTTTTATGTGCTGACTGAGGTTTACACTGTAAATATACATATATCCCAAATCTGTACCAAATCATGGGCACCAACGTTACATTAAAAATTAATCTACTCATTCATTCAACAAACACTTAGGATTCTGACAGGAGGGAATAAACCCCTAAATTTAAGTCCTTCATATTTTTCACAGTTTTCATAAATGAGCTATTGGGAGGTAGAATAAAGATATTGGGCACATAAATTATCTCTGCATCATAATTCTGTTCAAATATTTTTCAAGAACCAACTACATATGTTACACATGTTAGATTTTAAAGTCTCAGATATGAATGACATTATCCTCAAACAATAGGTTCAATTAACTAGTTTTCTGATCAATACTTCAAAATGCCTAGACTTTAATTAGGACTGTTTAGAGCAAGGGCTCTAGTTTTCTTCTTTGCAGTAAAATCTGTGGCAACATGTATCAAAACTGTAGATTTTAAGTTTTATAAAAAAATTGAGGCTTAGCCATTCTGAAATATCACCATCTTTTCCCAACCACTCTCCCCCGCCCAATCATCTCCACAACACCTTCCATAACAAGGCAGATACTTTTCTAGATCTCAGGTCCACAAGCTCTATAGCTTCCTAAGCTGTGGGTACACACTGCCATGCGATAACGAACTTGGATTGGCCCAAACGTGAATGGCCCAAAACCAAGTTTGTTTACTTTTTAAAGGCTACACAGCTGTTTTAGCTGACTCAAATGCAGAGGACTAGAACTCAGTGCCAGCATTTCTTGTGTAACTTGGGCAAGGTAGGGTGATACCATTTTTAAAGCAATCCATTGTGTTCTACAAGGGCGCATGGGAGGAGATAAATAAAGTGAGGAAACAAGAATCCCCACCATGATAGATCTAATATATACCTCTAAGAAACCGTTAACAATCCCTCTGCCTGGAATAATTCAACTCATCACATTTAAAGAATGAGCATTTATTCTTCCTAAACTTATTCACTCCATGATGTATTCCTGGTGAGTAATTGGGATACACAGGAAAATATGTCAGAGGCATTTTTGATGCAAGAAGGAGATGGATATCCCTACTGATATACACAGAGAAAAAGTTTGTCCCAGGGACCAGATTAACACTGAATACCGTTACCTGCTCAGAGCTATGGAGCTCTCTTCTGCATCACATGGGAGCTATCACCACAGTCTTCACATTTCCCAGAGCAGGGTGAACTACAATCAGAAACGTTACTAGTTTCTAGGGCTAGGTTTGCACTGTTTAAAGAGAACATGTCCAGTGCCAGTGTGAGATGGAGAGTGGTGACATTTACATGACTCTCACATACATTATTAATCTTGCAATACTACATGAATATAGAGATTAAAATGATGGTTTTGAGCACTCTAGTTCATTGCCTCATTTTCTAGTCTTTACTCTGTGCCAGGCCTGATGCGTGATTGATATACATTAACTTTGACTAATTACACGGGCCTTGTTCCACCATTCTGAACGATTACCCTGTCTTCTCCCACTTTATAAGCAAGTTTATTATTTTTCTACCTGTTTTATTGATGAGGCACTTTCCCTCTACATGCTATTTCATGATCCATTTGAAACTCTTACATTTCATAAATTTGGCAATTTGATATGTGCTATAATTCAAAACATTTTGATCTTATGTGAGCGTCAAGTTTGAAATGAAATGGGTTTTTTTTCCTAATTTATTTTCTTTAAATCAGAATGGATTTTAATGCTTCTGGTTTTCAAGCAGATGTAAGCAATTGCCTTTCACACAGAGAGCCTCACTTTGGCTCTTGAAATCACCGTGGCTTGCTGCAGTTTAGTCATATTATACTTAAGGGCAACAAATGTTCTTGGAGCCTGGTTGCTAATAGTTTAGAAACCTTGCAAATCCAATAGATGTATATTTTTTCAGGAAAATATGGAAATGGGTTAATTTCTTAGACTGTAGTTTCAAGATACACACAGAGTAAAAGCTCAGCTAAGGTTGGTGGACTCGATTAGTCTGATTTTCAAATATCTCATAATCTTAAACTAAAACGGAACAACTCTTTTCCTATTGCTGACTTCATCTTTGCTTGCTCAGCTAATACAAAATCTGCTGAATTATTTAAAAACCTGTGATTGCATATAAATACATATTGCCCAAAGAAAACCTACATCTCTTTAACAAAAAAGAATTGTTTTTCCTTCTTTTCCCTGTCCCTTATTTTCATGGGAATTAAATCTGGTTTTCTGTGGTTGTTGTTTGATATTGGGGATTGAACCCATGGCTTCATGCTAAGCTACATCCCTCACCCATTTTTATTTTTTATTTCCAAACAGGGTCTTGCTAAAGTGCCAAGGCTAAGCTCGAACCTACGATCCTCCTGCCTTAGCCTCACAGAGGGCTTGGCATTATAGGCAATTCTTTCGAGTCATAAGTGTGTTTGTGTTTCCTGAATATTTGCTTTAAGATCCATAGTTGAGCTTTTAAAAGTAATAGCATAATAAAACCATTTGCATCAAATTAAAATATCCAAAATAACATTTGAATAAACATTAAATATCTAAAAATAAAGGTCAGGATTGTAACCCTAATTGAAAGTATTTGTTTTGTCCCCCACAAAATTCAGTATCTATTACATATTTCAGATATTTTCTTTGCACACGAACACTTTCCTTTCCTACTAAACTTCATTGATACTAAGGTGTACAGTCTACTCATATTTCATTCTCTGTTTGCATCCAACAAGAAAATCAGATAAACTGTGAAGGCTTCAAATAATCAGTAAGAGATAAATCTCATCATGACATTATGGAAGTCAAAAGGCAATTAAGATCTTATTAAGTTCACGTTTGTGATCTAATATGTGAAATCAATTCTGAAATTCAGAGACAGTGATGAAATTCATTTTTCCTATTTTCTCCCTCTCTCGCCCCCTGTCATTCCAAATATTTCTGTCTTTTGTGTGGTTTCATACCCACATTGATTCACCTATTACTTAGCCACTGGTACAGTTTTCCAGTTATCACTTAACTAGCATTTTGCCTTCTCTTTTGTTAAATGCCCTTTGATCAAATCTCAAGGGGTAGCACTTCCACTAGGGGGCAGACAGTAAAAGGAAGTTAAGATGAAACACACCCATCCATCAACCGTATGGCTGCACTGAACATGTTCCAGAGCAGTTGAATTAAAGTAAATGTTTAAACTAAGGAGAGTAATAAGAGATCACAAAATAATCACT